CTGTTTATTGATTTTTTTTTTATTATTTATTATCCTTCTCTCTTCGCTTTTTCTCTTTGTCTTTCTCTGTTCTCTCTCTTTCGCTTTTTCTTTCTCTCCTTCTCTCTCTGCTTTCTGTTTCCGTTTCTCACTCTCTCTCTTCTCTTTCTCTCTTCCTCTTCTCTTCTACTCTTCTTTTCTCTTTCCTCCTTCTCTTCTCTTCTTTCTCTTTTTTCTTCTCTTCTCTTTCTTCTCTTCCTCTCTCTTTCTCTACTCTTCTCTTTCTTTCTCTCTTCTCTCTCTCTTTCTCCTCTCTCTCTCTCTCTCTCTCTCTCTCTCTCTCTCTCACCTGGTTTTTGTTAATTTACGACTGATTTCTTTTATCTATTGTTGTATTGTTCTTGTTCCGTTTTCATCGGCTTATATGAACGAAATTTGTCATCATCATCATCATCATCATTCTTCATCGCTATTTGGTCTGCCGCTGCCCGTTTTATTAATAGCATCAGCTGATTCCGAGCAACAGTCTCCTAAGGTCATTTCGAAGGTCAGGAGATTCCGTCATTACAGCGAGGTCAGCCTAGTTCATTTCGACGGAGGTCCGCAACACTATTTTACATTACTGGCAGAAAATAAGGAATCGAATAAAACGATCCAGCTCGACCTCTTTCCTGCCCTTTGGTAAATGATGCACTGGCACCTCGAGCGCGATCTTGCCGTCGGGAGATCACTTCTTTTTCTCTCTCTCGCTTTTTTTTTTTTTTTTTTTTTTTTTTTTTTGATGAATGGGTTCGATATAAAATGTTTTGGGTTTTCTTCGTTTTTTTATATTTTTTTTTGTATTTTGTTTATGTTTGTTTGGTTAGGTTATGTGCTTTAGTTTGTGGTGGTTATGTTTTTTTTGTTTGTTTGTTTCATTTTTTTTTCCTTCTTTTTTTGCTTTTCCTTCCTGATCTTGTTAGCTTGTTTTTGTCCTTCCTGTTTCCTAATATGTTCTTGGACTCGAAGCCGGAACTAAAAAAAGATAAAAACAAAGCAAAAAAAAAAAGAAAAAGAGAAAAAAAAAAAACGAACTGTCTTGTACCTGTTCCTCTTCCTCCCCCCCCTCCCCCTTCCCCCTTCCCCCCTTCCCCCTGTTTTATATGTTTTATAATCATTGTACTTTTTGTTTTTGTTTTTTACGTTAATAGGCTGTTTATATGTTTATTATTTCTTGTTTTTTTCACGATTTTGTTATATGTTTATTTGTTTTTTCACGTTTTTTTTTTTTGTTATATGTTTATTTGTTTGTTTGTTTTTCACGATCTTTGTTATATGCTTTTTTTTACGTTTGTGTGTGATTGTGATATGCCTTATTTTTGCACGTTTTTATATGTTTAATTTGTTTGTTTTTCACGTTTTTTGTTTCATGTTTTATAGTTTGTTTTTTTCACGTTTTTTTGTTGTATTGTTTATTTTGGTATGATTGTGTGTGTTTTTCCACGATTTTTATTATATGTTTATTTTGTTTGTTGGTTTTTTCCACGGATTTTTATGTTTTATTTGTTGTATTTCAGTGTTTGTTATGTTTATTTGTTTGTTTTTTCACGTTTTTGGTAATATGTTTATATTGTATGTGGTTGTTTTTTTCCACTATTTGGTTGTGTTGTTGTTTGTTGTTTTCTTATCGTAATTATTAGGGTGTGTCCAAGCCCAGTCTTTTTATACTTTCATTTTTGCGGATTGGTAAGTCGTCTTTCTTCTTGCGTTTTTTGGAGAGTTATTCTCTGATTTTCTTGAGTTCTTGCGGCTTCATCTACAGTCTCCTTCGGGGGGCCGTGCGCCAAGATGGGGGCATGCCAAGGTGGGAGGGTGGCCAAGGTGGGAGCGTGAATCGGCGGGGGTAAGGTAAGAGATAGGAAGGGGAGAGGGAGGGGGGGAGAATGAATGGGTAATAGGGTGGGACCGGGGGGGGTAAGGAGATAGGAAGGGGACGGGAAGGGAGAAGAAGGGTGGGTGGGGCGGGTGAAGGAAGAGAGGGAGGGGGGAAGGAGGAGGAGAAGGAAAAGAAAGAGGTAGGGAGAGGAATAGAAGAAAGTGGTAAGAGGGAGTTTGGAAGGACTGGACAGGAGAGGAGAAGGAGAAAAGGAGGAATAGAAGTAGTGAAATAAGAAGGATGGGGGGGAAAGATGGAGGAGGAGGAGGAGGAGAGGGAGAGAAAAGGAGAAGCGATAAAAAAAGGGCAAATGTACACGAAGGAAGGGAAGGGAAAGGAGGCATGAGAGAGCCCGCTCCCTTGCCGTTCCCCCTTTGGGAAATTATGCGATCGGAGGGGGGAGGGGGAGGGAAAGGGAGGGTATTGGAGAGGGGTAAGGGGGAGGGAGGGGAGGGAAAGGCCATTGGAGAGGGTGGGGAGGGCGGGGGAGGGGAGAGGTGAGGGAGGGAGGGCATTGGAGAGGGGTAAGGAAGCGGGAGGAGGGAATTAGAGGGGGACGGGGAGGGGAGAGGGGGAAGGAAAATGGCATAGGTGAGAAGACAAGGACGGGAGGGGGAAAGGGCGGCACAGGAGAGGGGAAGAGGAGGAGGAGGAGGAGGAGTGGCAGAGGACCGCGGAGCACAGGTGAAGGGAAGACAGAATGGGGGTAGGAAGAAGAGAAAGGAGATGGAGATAGAAGAAAAAAAGGAAAGGGAGGAGACGCAAGGGCGGAGGTGGGAATGAACACGCAGAAAGACGAGAAGGGGAGGGAGAGAAGAAAAGGAGAAGGAGAAGAAGAAGTGAGAGAGAGAGAGATAGACAGAGACAGAGACAGATATATAGACATAGAGAGAGAGAGAATGAAAGAGAGACAGACAAAGAAAGAAGAAGGCGAAGAAGAAGAAGAGAGATAGACAGAGAGACAGAGATGGAGATATAGACATAGAGAGAGAGAATGTAAAGAGAGACAGACAAAGAAACATAGGAACAAAAATAAATAGATAAATTTATAAAAGTAGATAGAGAGCAACAGAGAAAAAGAAAGAGAGAAGGGAAACGAAATCCCCACCCAACCCCCAACCCCCTCACCCCCCCCGAATTAGAAAACCATTTGCATGGCTTCTCGACGAGTCCCAGTGCCGCGGCGCAACGGGAGGAAGAAAGGATCATACGTACAGTAAATGTGACCTTTTTCCTGCACCTTTGTCGCGCCCTCTTATCACGTGTGGTGTCTTTAGGGGGGAGGGGGAGGGAGGGGGAAGGGGTAGAGACGGGAGAGGGATGGAGGGAGGGAGGGATAGAGAGGGATTGGAAGGAGAAAGGGGACGGTGAGAGAGGGAGGGGTAGAGAGGGGATGGAGGGAGGAGGGGGAGTGGAGAGGGAGGGAGGGATAGGAAGGGAGAGGGGGGTAGAGGAGGATGGGAAGGGGGGGAGGGGATGGGAGGGGAGGGTAGAGAGAGAGAGGAAGAGGAGGAGAGAGGGGAGAGAGAAGAGTTACGTGAGGTAGCAGAATATCCAAACAAGGTCATATCATCCTCTTCTCCCGTCCCTATTCTCTCTCTCAGAAGCTGCATCGTGACAGCAGGAGAGAAAGAGAAAGGGAGAGAGAGAAGGAGGGAGAGTGAGAGAGACAGAGGGAGAAAGAGAGTGGGAGAGATAGAGTGACAGAGAGAGATTGAGAGAGAGAGAAGAGAGAAGGAGGGAGAGAGAGAGAAGGAGGAGAGAGAGAGGACAGAGAGACAGAGAGAGAGAGAAGGGAATGCTAGAAAGAGGGAAAGAGATGAAATAAGGAGAAAGGGGGAAGGACTTGAAGGGAGAAGAGAAGAGAAGAAGGGGAAGAATAAGAGGGGACATGAACGTATCATAAAAAGTATATAGGTCGAAATTCGCGGAGGGGAATGGTTGGACGTGGGTGGGGGGGGTTGGGGTAGGGAGAGAAGAGGAGGGTAATGTATATGGTTGCGGTGGGTTGGGGAAGCGTGGATAGGGGGGAGGGGGAGGGGGGATAGGGGGAGGGGGGGGGCCCATGGAATAGTCTTCGTGACGTGATGTTGATGAATCTTAAAGTGAGTTCAGTGAGTGAGTGAATGCCTAATATTGGGCTTTGGTACATGAAGGGGTATGATTGCCGTTTGTTTATGTCGCGTTTTGTGGTCGTATGTCTTAATATTGGTACTTTTTTTCGTTTTTTTTTTTTTTTCGTTTTTTCCGTTTTTTTCGTTTTTTTTTTTTTTTTTTTTAGATGGTCTTTCTAACTTCGATTTTTTGTTTGTTTTTTTGTTTTTTTACTTAGATGGTCTTATAGCTTCGTTGTTTTGTATGTTTGTTTTACTCACTACAACCTGTTTAACATTTCTTGGTAATGGATGATTTAGGATTAGTTCTATTAAGTAATCACTGGCTGATTATACGTAGCAATTGAGTATCTTTCTGTAGTAACTTTATTTTTAGTATTAGTTTAGTATAGTTTATAAGTAGTGGGGTTTTAAGGCTAGCGTGAGAACTGGGTGGTTGGGAGGGAGGGGGAGGGGGGGTAGATATTCAAGTCGTGAGTGAACTGAGAGATTGAAGCACCTTCTCCCCCCCCCCCCTCCTCCTCCTTCTCCTCCTGCCTCCTCCCTACTCCTTCTTCACCCCGAGGCATTCACGGATTCTAGCTGTGAAAGTCGGTCGGTCTCTCTCTCTCTCTCTCACTGCTCTCTCTCTCTCTCTCTCTCCTCTCTCTCTCTCTCTCTCTCTCTCTCTCTCTCTCTCTCTTCTCTCTCTCTCTCTCAATCTCTCTCTCTCTCTCTCTCTCTCTCTCTCTCTCTCTCTCTCTCTCTCTCTCTCTCTCTCTCTCTCTCTCTCTCTCTCTCTCTCTCTCTCTTCTCCTCTCTCGCTCCTCTCCTCGCTCTCTCTCTCTCCTCTCTCCTCTCTCCTCTCCTCTCTCCTCTCCCTCTCCCTCTCTTCCATGCCCCATTCCTTCTCGTCTCTCCTTTGGTCGTGTCAATCCCGCTCGCTCCCCAGCCCCCCCCCCTCGGCTCCTTCGGTCCCCCCGCTAACCGCCCCCTCTCTCTCTCCTCCGCAG